AACTGAGCCCGCTGATACACTAGGGAGAGCGGCAATTAGGCCATTTAATTTGAGGCCTTAGTTCTGCGTAAATCAATCTCTACGGGGTGAACTTTCAAACACCTTTTCAGCAGTTCTTTCAATACCACTCATTCTTTATCGATGATCTTTTATTCATTTATTTATTTTTTTGTTAATGGGGGGGGGAATGGGGTGGTGGGACCGCGCTGACTTTGTCCAAAGACGTCACCATGGTTTTCACGACATTTTCCGACTTGCATTTAACCCTGCAGATTTCATTGTCATAGCTTTACGGAGGACTGGCCAAAAATTCCAGCCCTTATATTGTGTTTATTTTGATTTCTAGACGTCTGTTTACCTTGCACCATCTGCTTACTATACACTCCTTCCCCTCGTTTTGTAACTCCTGCTATCCTGATGTCATAAGCTGTAAAACTCTGTACATCATCAAGTGTTACTGAATATGTGTGTGCGGCAACAATTTTCTCCCTTACGGGCTCATCTTCAACACTCTTTCCGCCAACCATGACTGCTTGATATTTGACCAGGTAGCCTACATGGACGTTATTGTAAATACCTTATTTCAGTTTTATTGCATGATAACTGTTGATCTCTGTGTTATCTCATCTTATCGCTATGATGTATTTAACCAATGTCTCCTTCGAAGGGCAACGGCAGCTCCTAAAGGCTAGCCAATTCTCCTTTATCAACATAATAATCCCTTTGCCCCTGAAACAATTATGGAGACGAGTTGAACCTCTTGTCTTTTCGAGTTTGTGAAATCCTTTGGAGTAATACGATTTGTTGTTGAATTTTACTTCCAGCGCTCCTATCTAGCTAATATCAAAAGAAGTATGAAAACTTTTCACACGCTTAAAAGGTGACTGAAATTGGGTAGATTTGCTGCATTGATTTAAACCTTTATAGAAATGGTTTTGAGTTTGCGGTGGCGGTTGCGTTCCCAAGTCACACGTAATACCTACACGAAATACCTACCTGTTATAACACCATTGGCTTCAGTTTCTGGGATTTTCTTCCACTGGACTGGAAGTTGGTTCGTGCTGGTTGAAGCCATAATGGTTATGTTTGATGGCGGTGCACTGGGAACTAATTTCACACGGTGAGAATCAATGCGATGGTTATTTAAGTTAAGTTTTTCCTTATATCTTTTGAGGTAATTGTTACAGCAAGGAGCATTAAAATGTGACCTCCTTTAATTAACTCGCATTCTTTCATGCAGACATTAACGAATAAGAAGTCTAGGACAGTTTTCAGCTGGATTCTGATTGGATTATATCTGCACGAAAGAATGTGAGTAACTCAAAAGCGGTCACACTTTTGGGCTCCTTGCTGTAAAAGCTTCTCCTTACTCCATGTCAAATTTTGAGTTTCCTCTATAGCTTTATTTAGTTAAACTTCTTTCAACAAACGTAGGGGTTAATTTTGTTGTTTGGAAACGATAGCCTTCATGGCGATGATAACGCCGATGGGAAAAACACAAATATCTCTACCAATAATAAGCTAGTCCTACCACTGTCGAGAGTTGTCACGTTAATGGAAGGTGACACAGGCCCATCTTCATGTGCGCCAGAAGCCTTAACACGCAGTTGATACGTGGTTTTCGGTCTCAGTCCGGACAAAAAACACGATCTCTTTCCATGTCCCTCTATTGTTACGTGTCGCTCGGCCCCACCAGTTACAGGACGGTACATAACAGTGTAGTCATTTTGATGGACCGCGACCTCGTCATTCTCTGGAAGCGACCATCTCAGCGATATTGCATCCGATAATACTAAGACGGCGTGAAGGTTATTGGGAGTTAAGTCTGAAGCTGCGGAAGTAATATAATGCCGTGCGCAAAATTAGCAAGAGACAATCGTGAAACCCTTCTATTTCAAAGGTAAAGTCAAAAAACACTCTAATAATATGGGTTTGAGAAAGTAAAAAGATGTTTTTCTCCGACATGAAAAGGGTTCAAAATTGTGCGACCTACCACTATCATGTTCGGTTGTAAACTCCACCCAGTCAGAAGGCGGGCTGTTTTTACCATCGGAAGTTAAGGCTAATACTTCAACCCGATAGATTGTTTCTGGAGTCAGCTGGTTTAGCTGTGTCTCAGTGGTTTGCCCATCCGGGATGTCCAACTCAGTGGGAATTCCATGACTTGTGTAGGTTAATCTGTACCCCGTGACCAAACCAGCTGCTGCGCATGCTCCGTCGTAAACCCAATCTAAGATTGCACTGGTAGCTGTGATGTCACGGGTAGTAAGCTGGTTCGGCGAATCACAAGGAGCTAAAGATTGATGATTTTAATTATTGATCTTAGTGATACTAGAGTTTATTACTAGACACTTTAATTTGTCCTATAGTCATACTGATAGTCCTTGACTACCGGGGTACATTTTAGTTGCCATCTATTTCCACCAAGAGACAAATTTACGCTCCTTTTGTTCTATCAGGAGCCTATCAATAGGGCTCCTGTCCTATGTAATGATAACCGAGTTTCTGGTACATCATTATAATTCGATGGTATCTTTAATCAAGCGTGACATTGACATTATTTTCAGCCATTTTAGCCGGAAGTATTGCCGAAATATGTCACCACTAAAACGTTTCCTACAGGTAGCTTAGATTTTTCAAATATTTTGAATGAATGTACAGGTATTCCTTGTTAGTACCGGCTTTCATTTTCTAATTAGGGAGCTTAAGCAGCGACGTTTTTGAGCGACGCACGTCAACCGGAAGTGAGGTATTTTCCCTCTTAACATACCTTGATGATATAAAATTTGTATTCCTTAGCTTCTTTACTGTTATAGAGGCGATTTGACTGAAAATTTGCGCGAAACCACCGTCAAAAAATGAAAAAAGGCCACTTCCGGTTGACGTGCGTCGCTCAAAAACGTTGTTGCTTAAGCTCCCTATTATTTGCTTTACAACTCAGAAACGAGGACCACTCATACATACCTGGCTCGGCGTCTGTGGAGATATTTGCCTCTCCTCTAATAATCTGTCCAGTCAACAGTGCTGTCACTTGCACCACATAAACTGTAGAGGGCCTTAATCTGTCAATCAACAGACTGTGGGTCGTCTTTGAAACGTTTCTAACAGCTGTAGAGACCCAGTCTCCCTCTAGGGCCCAGTACCTAACGCTGTATCCATGAATCAGGTCCAGTGAGAGTGGGTTCCAGAACACTTGTATCTTACTGTCAGATACATTGTGGCCCGTGACGTCAAGCTTATAATCTAGTGAACAAAAGTAAAAGACAAAATTGTGGAACTATGGTAGTTTTTGTCATCCTTGACATTTTACAGAGTTTTTTAATTTATGGAATTATTATGCTAAGCGCTGTAAAATGATTGATATGTTATACACACACATTCAGGAAGCTTAGATTTTTTATTTGATCAACTGACAAAAATCGTAAGTTTTCACATACCGCTTTTTTCTGTGGAAATGTTTGCTTCACCCCTAATGACTTGTCCAGTTAAGAGAGCTGTCACCTGCACCGTGTAAACTGTGGAGGGTTTTAATCTGTCAATCAACAAGCTATGCGTCGTGTTTGAAACGTTTCTGATACCTGCAGCGTCCTCGCCGTCTGTCAAGGCCCAGTACTTAACCCTATAACCTTGAGTGTCAAGTGGGACTGGATTCCAGTAAACTTGGATTTCACTGCCAGATACATTGTGGCCAGTAACGTTAAGCTTGTATTCCAACAAAACTGAAAAACAGGAATCCCTTTCCTCCGTGGAAATATTTACTTGTTCTCTAACAACCTGTCCACTCCAAAAGGCTGTGACCTGTACTACATAGCTTGTAGAGGGTTTTAAGCTGTCAATCAGCAAACTATGTGTTGTGTTGCACACAATCCGCGCACTCGCAGACTCTTTGTTCTCTTCCTCGCCCCAGTACTTCACCATGTAACCTTCAATGCCAAGCGGGACTGGGCTCCAAAACACTTGAAAACTACAGGCACTCACATTGTGTCCCGTCACGTTTAGATGGTGCTCTTTTAAAAGAAGGAATAAAGCGGCAATAATGTGAATTTAAATGAAACATTTTCTGGCTTAGCCTGGAGGAATTTTGTTCCGTTAACTGTAGTAATGAAAGGTTATCGAATTGTAAGTAATTTTTACAATGAACATTTCCTAATTTTAAACAAAGCCATTGGCTTTTCTTGGGAAGGGCCTGGGAAGCATACGGTGATGATGATGACGATGACGATAATGACGGTGTAGATGATGATGATGTTGATAATGATGATGACGACGATGTGGTGATGTTGACGATGATGATGATGATGATGATCAGAGGGGGTGTGATGATGATGATGATGATGATGACAATGACAATGACGATGATGATGATGATGATGATGATGATGACGATGACGATGATGATGATGATGATGATGATGATGATGATGATGATGATGATGATGATGATGATGATGATGATGATGATGATGATGATGATGATGATGATGATGATGATGATCACGATAATGTGATGGTATGGGTGGGTTTCACAGTCTCCATACAGAAGCAATGTTGGAAGTATACTGTTCCTAACGAGTTACCTCTCAGAGTCTGCACAAAAACCTCATCACTGCATTCTGTGATAACTCCTTGATACTCTGTAGCCACACATACTGTGTAATTAGTTAGTGCATTCAGTCCCTCGATAGTGTGTGGACTGTCGCTTACAGTGATGTTCTTTTTCACTCCATTTGCAATCTGTTCCCACTGGACAACGTACTGTAGGCTCATATTCACGGACGCTGTTAAGGCTGGACTCCAACTTACTAACACAGAGGTGGGACTGATTGACTGGGCTGTTACGTTTTGTGGGTGACGGAGATCTAGAGGAAATCAGTAACACTGCATCAGAGGGACGCACTTTAGAACTTACTAGCAAACCTACTGCAATAAACGTATAAATTTTACCAGTAAATTAAGGTATATACTAGTTAACTGAAAAACAGAGCACCTCTAATTTTTTTGTCCTGTGCTTGTAACCTGCCGACGATTAGTACACCTCTCTTATGCACTATCGCGCTTAAAATTTGCCATCTTTTATTATCTCTATAAAGTGCACTTTCCGCATTGCGGATCAAAACACATGAACCCTGTATATGACGTGCCCTTCACAAGTCATGTCACTGGGGGCTTATATGTTCGAATCTTGTCGGGCAATGAATATATTTTGTTTGTTGCACTTTCCTGCCAGTGTGTGTGTGTCTGTGTTTTTTCTAAGTTATGTTACCATTCATGCGTGGTTTTTCAAAGCACAAAACGTTATTTCGCAAATTAAACTTACGTCCCAGTTGTGTCTTCGCCATCACGGTTTCACTCCAAACGCCATCTTTGATGGTAAACGCAGACACTTGCACTCCATACATCGTGCCAGGTTTTAAATTAACTAGCTCAGTTCTTAGTGTATTGTGGGTAATAGTTTTCACAGTCCAATTGGTAAAGGCTGCTTGCGCATGCTCCCAGTAGCGAACTTTGTAGCCTCGCAAAATCCCATGAAGAAACTTTTCGTCAACTGGTTTCCAAGCTACGTTAATCAAACCAGTGCCGTTTGACTGGACAGTCACGTTGTTTGGAGGGCGGCTTGGAGCTAGGAACGAAAATAATTGTAGGTTTATCGCTACCGTAATTATATATTTGATTTTGCTTTAATGTAGAATTTATCCAGTTAAGACCATTGTGTGCTAGTTACTGTGATTTGACTCTTTTAAGAGTAAAATATTTGCAAGAACAATAGATCCCATGATCCCTCCCTCCCCCATTATCTGAAGGTCCGGATATTGCGCTGTACAATACAGTCAAAACTCCCGTCAGCGACCACCCAAAATGTAAATGATTCATTTGAGAGGAGATCCACCACAGGGTCTCCTACTTGGAGGTTTGATAATTTATTGCCATAAGCTTACTTTAAGTCCCTCTTGTGCTCTGAGTTGCGTAGTACCGTACCATAAAAATTGAGATCAGACCATACAAGCGTTAATCAAAACAATGGAATCCTGAAACTGTCTCCCTAAACGAGGTCGCGGACACTTGATCCTTTAGCTTCAGTATCCACATACAAATTCTCCAAACTGATCTCTATATATTTCCTTGAAAAATTAGTTGACAGAATTTGATAACAGATCAAAGCATTTTCTCTTTGCTGATCATTTTGTTAATTTTCATAACTTATCTCTTGAGAATGTATGGATAACGTTAGGAGAAAATTGTTGTTGGCCACTATTGGGACTTAAAAGGGTTAACGAAGGGTGGTCATTTTTGAGTGGTTTCAACGATCGTCTTACTCTTGAAATGTCTTTGGTGTTTGGATAGATGGGAGGGGAGGTTCAGTGTCGTTTGTCGTACATTAAGGTTTTGACTGTAGAAACCAAGGTAACATTGAGTTTACCATCTTCTCCTGTGCTGAGATGGGTTAACTTAAACCCTCCCGCGCCTTTCCTTGTGTATCCAGACACCCCAACAAGGTAAAGCGTGAACTTTTCTAGTCCCTGTAGTTCAACAGAAGTCGTAGAAGCGTTGGTCCATGTGAAATTTTGAGAAGAACCTAGAAGAAATGCCTGGTAGAGGACTTTGTATCCTAAAAGGATTCCATTTGCAAGGTCATCAGGTATCGGCCTCCATTGTATTAATATACACGTGGAGCTTGTGTTAAATACTGATGTTATCGTAGGAGGCGCCCATGGAACTACAAATGAAAAATGAATGTAGCAAATGTTTACGTTATCATCGATATTCTCCGCGCAGTTTAGTCTCTCCCGAATGATTTTTGTCAAAACAGCTATATGTTTATGTATATTATTTATATGTTTATTTAATATCTGTATCCAAATTTGAGTCCAAAATTAGTTACTGGGGTTTACTATGAAATTTTAACAGAAGTTCAAACAAAAATTGGAGGAGGGGCAATCCTCTGGGAATGCCTACCGGTTAGCTGGGATCTTGGCATCATGATACAAGGATCCCGGCTAACTAGGCTGGCTCGGTTGTCATGTAGTCAAAAAGGTGACAAATCGAGTCAGCCCGGTTCATGTAATTCTCTCCCCTAATAAGCCGCGTTTTAACTGTATCCCGCGTTCTTACCATGCTCATCTGTAGAAACTCGTGTTTGACCTTTAATGTTGTCTTGCCCAATCAGCAAGGCTTTCACTTCCACAACATAAACCGTAAAGGGCTCTAACGAATCAATCGATAGACTGTGAACAGTCTTTGATGTGTTCCTGATACTTGCAGACTCTTCGCCGTTCTTCTGGGCCCAGTACCTCACATTGTAGCCTTGAATCTCCACTGGGACTGGGTTCCAGTACACTTGTATTTTACTCCAAGTTAAATTGTGGCCAGTAACATTCAGGTGGTTTACTACTGAACAAAGTGCAGGATTCCACAGTTAAAGTCGTCAATTATAAAAGCAAGGGAGAAAACTAAGACTGGTTAAAACAGGGGATTGAATTGTTGTGTTGTGCCTTGAATGCCGTCTTTAGTTTTAAGAGTGAAAAAGAGTTGAAAATGTAATGTGTAATGCTACAGAAACTTATTTCCTTTAACTGTTTCAATTTCACATGACGTAACGACGGCCATGTTGGTGTTCCAAAACAATGTAACAGCGGCCATGTTTGCAAGCTAATCCCACGGGAGTTGAATTCTTTTCGTTTTTAAACTTTTTCTTTTTTTTTTTTTTTTTTCGTACAATTATGTGTAGATGTCGGCCAAGTGAGCGAAAACGTTCTATTTAACCGCCCAAGTTCTTTTTTTTTCTTCAGTCTACACTCATCAGATGTATTGTGTCGTATATAGTCTCCCTTCCAGCAAAAACGCCCAGGCAGGTTTCTGAGCTCACACCATTTACCTGCTGTTGTGACGTTTACTGGTTCACTCGGTACACCATCGCCATGAACGTTAAAAGCCAGGACTCGTATGGTGTACCATGTTCTTGGCAGTAGGTTCTGGATCACGGTAGTGTAGCTGGGACCATATTCTGTTAGAACATCATAGTTTACAGCGCTGCCTGTTTTCTTGTATAAAACCTTGTATCCCTGAGAAGCACCTTGGAAGTCTTCCTCCCTGAGTCCAGTCCATGTTACATTTATTGACGAGTTATCGCGAGCATGCGCACTGATTAATTGAGGAGATTTGTTCGGCACTGTAACACATAACACCATGTTAATAGATTTTTCTATTAGAGTTTAAAGCTGCACCCCAACAAACTATTAACTTAAAGTAGGAGGGGGACAGCAGGGGGAGGCTAAAGGACGCCCCTATCTCCTCTTTCCCCTTCCCGTCTGCACATTCTTTCAAGTTTTTTTTTTCTGTCCTTTACCCCATAAGGGATGCAAACTCAATCAACATTTCGAATATGTTTAAGTCCATATAGATTCAATCCAAGTACTTCTTTGGTGGTACCCTCCATCCAGACTAATACGGCTTTGTTTTTGCAACCAGTGTAAAACAGGTGAGCTAAAAGAGGACTCGTTCCTAGTCGTTACTTACAGGAATGTGGAAAGAAAAATTGACACACGCAAAGGCTCTCTGCTAAACCCTTCCCGTTAATCATAGCGTGAACACAGAGAAGCGGCTGGGTACGAGCCTGCGGTAAAACTCTTCCTAAATTTGAATCTTAACCTACAGAGAGTGATGATTAATTTGGTTCGCTTGGTCTAAGAATGGAACCTTACAAGACTGATACCCTTCACATTCACACAAGTCCGTGATCATGACCTGCTGCGTTTACAAGCTAAAATATAGGAAAATACATGGTGAAAGAAACAAAGGCGCTTGTGTGGATATTGAAAAAAAGACAACAGATGGCTTTGAAAACGGATTAGGGTGGATGAGATCTTAGGTACGGGCCTCCTCTCGAGTACCCTACGAGCAGAGGCAAGAAAATGTAGCCTCTGCTCGCAGAGTACCTCTCGAGCCACTTTGTCAAGAGATGTGTTAGCATATTTTCATTCATCGAGTAACAATGTGAGACGTCTTTCACACAATACCGTTAACAAAGCTTGTTTCTAACGATTCCATCGCCACATTTCCTAGCGATTTGTTGATTTTCAGTGCCTCCTCCAGCCGTAGAATGTCCTCATAAGATAGCTGGCTAAATGACAGCTCTAGATTGACTACAACACTTCCGGCACTAAGAGAGGAACACAGGTCGTCTTATTTATTTACCAGTATTCATTCATGTACTTTGAATTAAGAATAATCTTCAAGGGGTGTCTTTCAGGCATTGCATAAACATTGAAAAAACCGATTGTCTTAATGGAGTGAAAAGAAATTGACTTTTGTTGCTGTTGTTGTTTTTTTTTTGCGGCGGAAGCTATAGAAAATGGAAACCTATCGATGCACATCAGCGTACGAGCAGAGCAGGGGGAGGGGAGTTCCGGAGTAAGCCCGACTCAGTGCTAGGGGAGTATTTTCTTAGCGGGAATCTGGGCAACCTGGCGTCCAACTCAAGCGGGAAAATTGCATGAACACTGTCGCTTTAGAAAAGTTTTCTTTCTCCATGAAGTGAAGCTTATTTACAGCTTATTTCAAAGTTAAATGAAAACCTAAAACTCTTCCATAAGAATGAGTCAATCATGTAAGAATGCAGATATGGTACTAAACCTGAAGTTGCTGATGTTGACACCGGTGAAGTAATGATTTCTTTCAAAGAAGGTGGAAAACTGAAAGAAACGAAACCAGGACTTAAATAAGATTCAAAACAACAAAAAACAGTTTTTAGGTTCTTATAACCTATTTGTTCAACGTTTTAAGTGTCTCAAAAGTATCCGTTTTCAGCCACACATTGTAGGATTTTGATCGTTTTAGTGCCTGGTTGAAGAATTCACAACTGAGACTCACATAAGGACTGATTCCTGTGCACAAAAGAGATTGCAAAAGAGGATGATCTATTAGCTTTTTTACCTGTTTACTTGTATGGTCGACAAATCTGTGGTATATCTCACTCTCCAGATCTCGAAGTCTCTCCCGCCATGTTTCATTGGTTAACCTCACTTTTAATTTCACTTTCTTCGGTGTTGCTGGATAGAATATTTAATAACAAGGGTTAATCATTATTTTTCCTCAATTTTTACTGTCTGGCAAGCAAACAAACCTCCCGTTAAATCAGAAAATATAATTTTACAAAACGAAATCTTTTGAATCAACTTTCTGAGGCAATTACCACAACACCCTTTTAAGCGTTAGAGAGACTTCCCTTCAATTATTGAGCCTGGCGCCGGGCTGGGCCTTGACGTTATGGTACTTCTCCAGCCTAGTCCCTAGTCGTTCTCTCTTGATCCGTTGTCCGCGCGAAGTCTGGGAGAGAGCGGGCGAGAATCTCTCGGTGACGTCACAGCTCATGGTAGAGTCCAGGAATGACCGAGCCGAAAACGCCTGGGGACTAGGCTTGGTATTTCTCAAAGTGGGCCGTTGTTTTAGCTTTTTATTACTGTTTTATGATTGTCTCTGATTATGACAGCATTTTCGTAACCAGTCAGAGCAGAAGACAAAATTCGAATCCATTTTTATTTAAAAACAAATCGTCGTCCACAGGTACGCTTTTAAATTATTTTCGTTCGCAAGTACTCATTTCTGTTTCCTTTCTGTTTAAAAAAGGATATTTGTATCTGTATTGCCTCGAATTAGAATACACATGGCTGACAGTGTTGTACCTAAACGGCCAATTCGGACCCAGAACCCTCGAGGTGTTGGTACTTTACCTCCGCGCTCAGTCTTATAACGCTTTTATTTTCAGAAACTAGTACTTCTGGCTGGAGCCTTAGACATAGTAGTTGCTTCTCGTACTCAGGCGTTTTTCCAAGGGTGAATTTCAGTGGCAAGCAGCGCCAAGGTGCAAGGTACGTTAGACGAAAGATTATGTACCTCTAGCTGTCTCCCAGAAAATTCCTTTCGCTTCATCATTAGATAACGCCCTGTGCCATATCGCCAGCTCATCTATACCAATCCTCCCCCTGTTAGTTCCTATAAATACTGCTTTTCTATCGACCAAAAGCTGCCTATTCGGTTTAGTGCAGTTGTTGTGAGGTTGCAATCTGCGTCCGTTAACAAACACTTTTATGTTTCCTGGATAGCTCCATACTATTACCGCGTGATACCACGCTTGGGTTGGAATAGCAAAGCTGCAAGTAAGAAAGAAGGTATTCTGAGGTTCGAATTGCACCATGGGACTGTGGGGAGAAAAAATTTGGCCTCGTTTCCCGCACAATGGTGTAATAGAGCAAAGCAACGTTATCCCCAGGGTCTTCTCGTTATCCTACCGCCGCCATATTGGAAAACGAGAAGATCCTGGGGAAGAGGTTAGAAATAAAGCGTTTCTTTCACATGGCCATCAGCGATGCAAATTTATTGGAATAAAAGAAAGTGAAACTTCAACTACTACAGGAATTGTTTGGAATACCAACACGGCGGCCGGTTCGTTCATTGTTTGGGACACCAACATGGCGTACGTAGAGGGTGCTAATGGGGGTACCATATTCTCAGTTAACTACTAATTTTATAGCCAATTATCAGTTAACTACTGTTTTTTTGGCCAAATATCAGTTAACTGCTAACCCTAATGGCACCCTCTACGTAATGTCGTGTTAACACGCTCTATTCGCTATTGTCACATGGACCATAATCCACCTTGTTTACCCCCCAAATTTTGCATAACCATTGTTTCTAATTTCTCCCGGGCATTACAAGACAATGCCTGTGCAAAATTTTAGGGGTAAACAAGATGCATTATGGTCTATCTGGAAATGGTGAATAGGCGAGAAAATGGGACCTACCAAAGAGAGTATGAATGGGGTGAACTGACAACTCACTAAATCCCCTGAAAACTGAGAAAGTACTGAAAATCTGACTAACAACTGACTGACCGTTTGGTGACAAGGCATTTTAGCTAATAAAGCTGTGACAGTTTCCGGGTGTAGGCAGCCAGCACGCGCCTATGTTCGCATGGTTTCGCAGCATTTGTATTAGATACCTCCTTGATTTGATCACAAATTTGACAGAAGAAAACGATCAGTTGTTGCTATGATGTCAGCAAAATTCGGGACAAGATGAAAATAACGACTATCTGTTTAAAGCCTGAAGTTCATGCCCAATTAAACCGTGATAGTGATAACTTTCACACCAATAAAAAACCAATTAATACAACCTCGTCCCCAGGTTGATTCGCGCTACCTGAGTTAACGGAGGAGATTTGGAACCCGTGCGATAACGAATTCTCTCGACGAGCTTAAGTTTAAGCTTAAGTTACATTCGAACTCGCCGAGGAGGACTGTGAACGAGGTTGGCAGTAATAGACGTACCTGTAGGAACACCTGTGCGTTTTTGACGTCACAAATGCCTCAACCAGACCTTGACGCCTATCTTCTATAACAGCTCGTACGCCGAATCCCTCGTGGTTATTATAGTGACTTCTGGATATAACTTTATTCAAGGCTGGTCGTAGAAAAAACGTAGAAGACATCGTGTGACCTGGATATTTAAGCCATAAAGCCATTGAGAGTCCTTCGGTACAAACAGATGGTCGGTCAAAACAAAACGGTGCTACGAGCCTGAAGCGATATCTTGCATACAGTTGGATGCCTTTATTTACAGGGCCATTGACAATAGATAGTGAATTTATATTATCACTGTCATATGGGACAAAATGGCCATCACTTTTCAAATCTTCCTCTGTGTCAGCAAAGTACTGAACGCTTTCCTTGTAAATCGTGTCCACAAAGGCTAAAAAATGAACAATAGGACCGTCATTGTTATACACCTGGGATTTGTCTATCAGCAGTGCGCACTCTCATTGGTTTCTTCTCGGTCACATGACATCTTACAATTCACCATTTTCACATAGACCAAATGCACCTTGTTCACCATTGCTTCAAATTTCTACTGGGCGTTACAGTCGTCCCAAGAGAAATCAAAGTCATTTGTTATGCAAAATTTGGGCGGGGGGGAACAAAGTGCATTAAGTTTTATGTTAATATGATAAATAAAACTTTTTCCCGCTGAAAGGTTTGAGCGGACCTGTGATGTCAAGTGAGTAAAAGAACACCGCTCTCTGAGACTAACATTCAAAAATTTCTACACGTTAAAGTTTTTCTTCTTGGATTGTATAACATATCGCTTCATGACTGGTCCCTCAAAAAACTGATTAATGTTTCAGTGTTTCCCTCTGGACCAGTCTTGAACCGTTTAATATCATTATCTACCAAACACCATTATCACGTGATTATACTCTGTCTTCACTGATCGGGCTACTGGTCTGATCTTTCTGGGATTCAAATGGGCGGATTTTGCCCCTTCCGTAGAAAAACGCATGCTCAAATCAAATCTTATCAACCGGAGAAGAACCTCTCTTTCTTCTCGTCTAAGCAACAACGGAAAAGAGGTGAACAATTTTGAGGCTATAATTAAGGTACCATTGGAACGTCAAATGACGTCATCACTCCGAACATTCGCCATCTTGGATCTACCATCTGAAGTGCACCATTTTGTTTTTCAGTCGACAATGTAAAATTGTATCAATATAACGGAGGTGGGGTGTGGCAATCAAGAGAGGGGGGCGAGTAAATTTACTACAAGAGGATTCTGTGAGAAAGAAATCGTTTTAAAAGGCTGTCTTACCGTTTGTGCACCACTCAGTTACCAGTTTCAGGTCTCCACAGAAACATTTACCGGTGTCACGATCACAGAAGCCTGGTGCTTGGCACTGGGGCTGGCAGACCGGCCCTGCAAAAGAAACAAAACGAGACTGGAGAAACCTTGTTGGAATTGCAATGAATGAAAGCAGGTCCACTATAACCACACCCACCACCCCAACTTACAGATAGGAAACAACACAAAGTTTACTGATACTGAAAGTCCACTTTCACCAGCACCTTATAAGAAGGCTCGAAAGAGTATTCAGCCATATGCGCGCGCAACTTGCAATAGTCGTTCAATCCCATGGACACTTGTTCGCTTGCTTTTTGTGCTTTGCCAAGATATTCACCTCTTATTTCTGCAATCTCTGCATCATTAAGGACCCTCTCAAACAGCTTAACATCTCGAATGTAGCCTTGGAATCTCGAGTTTCCCACGCTTTTTCCGATGTGGAAATGTTGTGCAAATAACAAAAGATCATGAACCGTTTGTTGTATCTCTTTAGTATCATTCATGATTAAACTGGCGATGCCATCCTTCTCATTCCACGTTACGGCCACGTGTGTCCACGTGTTTGGTTCTAGAACAGAACTATTAAAATAGCATTTAGTGTTTTATTACAGGTTGTTACTACGCATATAATTCTTATATTACCTGACTGCAATTTGTGTCTGGGAATTAAGATCTAAGCTTTTCAAACTCATTAATAATTTATGAAGAAAATACAAGGGAAATTAATGTTTAATGAGTGTTTGGAAATTAGATGAAAAACTGCTCATTTATGTATCCTTAATTTCTCCTTCTAAAAGCATTTTGTTTGAGGAGTAACATCAAGCATTCGACACAGTTTTTCATCACCAGATGAAACACCTCGAAGTTCGTAAAAAATACTCCGCTGCACGTCATATTTTCAACTCCCTTCTCGGTGTTCCATCTGGCGATGAAACACGGCGGGTAAGGAGTTGGACCTCAGACCGAGCCTCCCCAAATAAAGCTTTGTTGAGTATCCCCCCCCCCGGGGGTTGAAGGGACTGAGACCTACCTTGACGTTAGGTTAGCTACCAACAGGCCCTCTCTATTTCTCATCCGTACTACAATTCTTTCACTCGCTAAGTTGATCTCAAGCTGGTCATGTGACGTTAAGATACTCCCTTCATGGTCAGGTGAGCTTGTCAATACCCACAATGCCACTGAAAAGCTAACGTTGCTAAGGTCTGGGATTGGAAGATCAAGTGATGACGTAAGACCGTCCAGATAAGCAGCGTGCCAACCTTCGTGTACCTCAAATTTTGTATTTCCCTCAAGACTGAATTTTAAAAGTCACATCTAATTAATAAATAATAA